CTCCAGTGACACATCCTTACACATGATGATCTTTTCTAGCTCCTTCATAGCTTCCCTTCCGACTCCCAGTCTTCTTCTCATTTCTTGGCTGCAGTCTTCATTTGAACAGATGATTGGACTGATATGTACAAAACAATTCCAATCTCTTCATGATCAGCATTAAAGTTATGTAGTTCTTCTGCACTTATGATTTTTGATTTCTTAATGTTCAGCTGGAGTCCGGTTCTTACACTCTTTTCTTTCATCTTCCTGAGGAGTCATTTGCAGACTCCTCTCCACAGTCTAAAGCAGAGTTTGTTAACCCCTGGTCTGCGACCCGGTGCCAGTCCATGTCCTGAACAGGACCGGGCCATGGAGACAGACCTCCTGCCCCCCCTGCATGCACTCCCCTCCCCACAGCTGCTTTTCTCACACTGCGTGTGCTAGTGCTGATATGAGCGCTCTCCCACCCCTTCACGCATGCGCCCAAGCGCCTGTGCAAAGGGGTGGGCAAGTGCGCACACAGGCGTGCAGGCGCTCTTGCACTTACGCGAAGTGGTGGGGGAGTGCTCATGTTGGTGCTGGCACGCATGCCCGTGCTCCCCACTGGTTTGCGCATGCACTCAAGAGAGAGTGCGTGCCCCTGCGACCACAAGGGGGGGGTACCCCTCTTTCCTGAGAGGCTCAGCTAGTCCGCGGTCTGAAAAAGGTTGGGGACTGCTGGTCTAAAGGATAACCAGTACTGAATAGGGTGATGTGATTTCTGCTGCCATCTAGCAGCAAATGGGGAAAGAGGGAAACAGAGTCTGAGTTTAAGGGCGTGGTCAAATGGAGATACAGCTTGAATTTTGGTCTGCTTGTGGAACTGTATGGTGTGGCCTATTTTTCAGTGATTAAATGATGTAGAGGAATTCATGAACCAGACCGTGTTCCTTGCCCAATATAGAGCTCCCTTTTTTTGTCTGAGGATTTTTTTTTGGAGCTGGGCGGCAGTTATTCTTGTGTGTAAGGGATTTCTGTAAAGTAGATCACTCCTGGTGGAGCAACCTTTTCCAGTGCAAACAAGTAGGATCCTTTATTGGTTTCTGATCACACCCTAAGATATGTGGTTTCTGTTCGTTACCTGCCATCAGATAATCAGTGTTGAAACTAGGAGGGGGCTTGTGGGTTCACTCCTGGTTTGATGATGATGATGATGATGATGATGATGATGATGATGATGATGATGATGATTTCTTTTATGTTCTGTTTGTACTGAAAATATGCAATGCATTGTGATGATTGTGGTTCTCTGGATTTGGGCCAGAATTTTGCCTTGATGTTTTTAAAAGAGTAAGCTCATTACATTTTCCCTCTGTATAATCAATTCACATGTGTTTGTTTATGAGAAGCAAATTTATTCAGTATATGTAAGTATTAATGCCCAGGGTAACTGGCCATTTCTGTATAAGCAGATAAATGTATATAACACAAGGCATTTTACAACTGATATTACGACAGTACCATATGTCCTGGCATCTAGCTTTTTTAAAAGTCCTAATATTTGGGGAGAGGGGAGCAAAAATCTCAAACATTTGTGAGAAAGGGAAGGGATAGGAAGAACAGAAAACAATACTATAAAATATAATGATCAAAACATTTTGCTATCTGCATATAGTATAGACAATCATATTTAAAATTTGTAGTTATTATGACATTTCTTAATATTTTAAAATTAATTTGCATTCTAATATAAAGCCAAAGGTTGGTGCTATTGATGATTTTAAAATCATGTAAGTGCTTAAATAAGGAATAAATGAGTAATCATCGAAAGAGAAGAATCAAACAAGCAGTAATTTACCTTACTTTCTTGCTTATTAAGGATAAAGGTAAAGGTAAAGGTTCCCCTTGACAATTTTTGTCCAGTCGTGTTCGACTCTAGGGGGCAGTGCTCATCCCCGTTTCCAAGCCGTAGAGCCAGCGTTTTGTCCGAAGACAATCTTCCGTGGTCACATGGCCAGTGCGACTTAAGACACGGAACGCTGTTACCTTCCCACCGAGGTGGTCCCTATTAATCTACTTGCATTTGCATGCTTTCGAACCGCTAGGTTGGTGGGAGCTGGGACAAGCGATGGGAGCTCACTCCATCGTGTGGATTCGATCTTACAACTGCTTGGTCTTCTGACCCTGCAGCACAGGCTTCTGCGGTTTAGCCCGCAGCACCACCACGTCCCTTCTCTTATTAAGGATAGTTATTTTTATAAAGTTACATGGTATTGTCAACAACAGAAATATCCATTTTTCACATATATTCATATTCAGCAAACTGTAGAAAATATGAACTAAACATGAATTTCAAAATTTTAAACTTTTTGCTCTATTTATTTAATCCATACACCATCTTTCTCCCAATTCTGAGTGTGTGGGACCCAAGGTGGTCACCTAGTCAGTTTTTTGCATCATGGTACGTTACCTTGTAGTTCTACCTAAATTATCTTAATGATGTCTCCATTTGCTTATGAGATTAAATGAGCATACTGAATTTTAATGCAAAAATCTGCACCTCTTGGGTAACAGATATCCTCCTTTTTGGTATTTTTTGTTCTCCGTGTCCTCCTTTCTGGTCATCCTAAGCAGCAAATGAAAATAAAAAAAAAGAAAGAAGAAATTCATGGTTAAAGTAAAGTCTATACTTTCACTGAAGGACGAAGAAAAGGAAGTTATGTTTTGAATTTGTATTTTTAGCTGGCCTACGAGCATTCCAATGTGGTATAAAAATGTACTTTAAGCATCTAAAACAGTTCTGGAAGACTCTGACATAGTGTACAGTAAATGTTTAGTTATTTTGTGTGTATTCCTAGTTATAAAAATCTTTACTTTCAGTTTATTTGAAACTTAGAGATTCTTCTTATTGGGGGTTCAAAATGCCATAGGATGCTCGGTCAGCCTACTAAACAGAATCCTAATGGAGGAAAGAAGCATAGACACCACAGGTCCCTTAAATTTACCCGAAGAATCCTCATTGACTAAGAGTATCGAAAGGGGAGTTGGAATAATTTAAGTGAAGATGACAAATATATATGTTATTTTTTTTAGCTTGTTGGTCTTGTGATTAAGTTTTTCCCCTTAAAAATAGGATTATAATTACCATAGCTGTTACACTTTCCTGAACTGATCTCAGGCTGTAACAGTTGAACCTTTTCCAACCAACCAGAAAAAGAGATTTAGAATACCTCAGGTATGGAAAATGCTGCAATCCCACTTAAAATAATGAGATTGTTTCCATGAAGTGCTATGTAACCATGTCACAATAAATCACAGAGTGAATGTAATGTCCCTGCCCCCCCCAAGGTCTGTGACTGAGTGACACTCTTGTTCACCTGGTACAGTGCTGCACAAAGAGGAAGAAGACAAATACCGTCTTATCAGGAGAATGTCGACATGTTCAAGGTATAGTTTTCTTAAAACAACTCAAGTATAAACAAGCAGATACCCAGTGATGTGTAGTGGATAGCGTGATGGACTAGGACTCAGGAAGCCTGGGTTTGCATAGCTCAGCTATGTAAGCTCACTGGGGGTGTGGAATTGGTAAAATCATTCCTTAAATATCTCACTGACCTTAAAAATCCTGTTAGAGTCACCATAAATCAGTTCCAACTTTATGGCATGTAACAACAACATAAACCAGCAGTGAGGTCTGCTTAGCCCACTAGAACTTTTCATCGCAGTTTGACAAGTTACAGTTGGTGAAGTGGAGCTGAGAAGTTCTAAATAGACAGTTTGGGCCACAAAGCAGTATTTCCAACAAAGTCCTTATTCTGAGAATGTGGCAGTCAACAAGAAAGAGAATAGAACAAGTTATCATTAATACTCTGGACATCAACAACAATTCCTTGCATTTTGGAAAATCCATGTGCAAAGTGAAAGTAACTAACAACAACAAAACCCACACATTGCAATACCTACATTGATAACCACAGTTCCAGCAAGTTACCCAGATTCTGACTCCTCTTCAGATATCCCTTCAGATGAGTAGCAAAGGCAGCTTGAAGATCATTCAAATTAAATAAGCAGAATCAGGAAATTTGTACTGTATGGGCAACTGACAGTGAAGCAAATAGTAATTACGAGATGAACCACAGCACTACAGATGGAAGATAATTCTTTGCTTAATGAGAAGTCATTCTGGAGGCTAAATTTCCCAAACTCTTTCCTTGCCACTTCTTGGAAAGAAGAAAGAGAGAGGAAGATGATGGGCTGTTTAAGCGCACTCTGCAGTCTTTCCATCAGGAGAATCTCCACTGTGTGCCTTTTTCCCCCTTATATATATTGCAATATACCTTCTTCATGAATGCATCTGTGTCCCTAATATCAGTTGCCATTGCCCCAGTTCCTTTCCTCGTTTATCTGGGTTTGGAGCCAGAAGGTGGGAATTTAATTCTCTCCCTGTGCTTCCTTGACAGGGACTGGGCTTGATGATCCATAGGGTCCCTTCCAGCTCTGCAGTCCTAAGATCATCATCATTATTAATTTGAGATCAGTCAAAAACAACCAGAGGAAAAGGCTTGTCGTGCTTAACAGCCCTGGAACAAGAGGTGCAGGATAAATGTAGAACCCAAAGGTGGTTTTGTTGACCAATAAAGAAACTGCAGATTCCTTTTCAGTATGATATTTATTATATCAAACTTTTTTTTTTAAATGTAAGCACAGAGAGCCAACAACAAGGAGCACTCACCTGCTTTCTCAGTTAAGCTCATCCAAGTCACTATGTTTTCATAAACTTTCCTACCATCTGCTGGACATTCCAAATGGGATTAATACAAAACCTCTGTATTAATTCCTGTTAAATTTACTGTCCACAGAACTGCCACTGGATGAGAAATAGACATTCCCAATACGTAATTGCTATTCAAGGAGAAATATGTGACTGTTGCCTCTTTCAGCCACATGGTGGGAGTATAGGCAAACACATGACTTGCAACTCAGTATTTCGGGCTGTTGAAATTCAGAGCAAGCTCAAAACATCTCTGAATATGAAACCAGAAGACATCTAATTTTTCAGTGCTACAAAGGGAGACATTCAGGACAGCAAAGCAATCAACACGGAAAGCAAGAACAATTTCTCCATCAATAGAAGTGGAGAAAGAGTGAAAACCAGAAGACACAAATTGAAGGGATAGACAGTTCTGAAACCATGGAAGACTGCTTCAGGAACACACAAGGTCTGTATCTTCTCTTCTTCTTCTGTGTATCTGGAGTATTCTGTGTCTCTATCCATTATTCTGTGCCTGAAGAGAAGAAAAGTGGATCTCTGGTGGCTAATGTGCTGAAAGATTTGAAACTGGAAATAGGGGAGTTGTCCAGTCGCAGAGCCCAGCTAGTGTCCAAAGGCAACCAGCAATTTTTCCATCTTGATACCCACTCTGGGGATCTTTTGATAAATGACAAAATAGACCGAGAGATTTTATGTGGCCAGATGGAGCCTTGCTTACTACTGTCTGAAATTGTACTCCAAAGTCCCTTAAAAATCTATAGCATTGAAATGCAGATAGAAGATGTGAATGACAATGCTCCCATATTCCCTAAAAATGAATTTCAGCTTGAAATCCCTGAGAACGTCCCCATAAATACACAATTCCCCCTGGAGTCTGCCCAAGATGAGGACCTGGGTGAAAACGGCATCCAAAACTACACACTCAGTAACAGTGTGTACTTCTCTCTGGGTGTGGAAAGCAGCCTTGAAGGAAGGAAATATGTGGATCTCATTTTGGTGAAACCACTAGATAGGGAGAAGGAACCCCAGTTTCAGCTGATACTTATGGCTGTTGATGGAGGGACACCACAGAGAACAGGCACAGTTCAAATAAGTATTAACATTCTGGATATCAATGATAATTCCCCTCAGTTCACTCAGTCCGAATATAAAGTAAGGATAAAGGAAAATAGCCTCCAGGGTACTCTAGTATCTAAAGTGGATGCAACAGATTTGGATTTTGGTTCAAATGCACAGATCACCTATTCTTTCCATCGAGTGCCTCAAAAAATAAATAATTTATTCCACTTAAATCAAAATAACGGGGAAATCTCTGTTTTGGGAGAAATTGATTATGAAAAAGAAACCAGGTATGAAATGAACATTAAAGCAACAGATGGAGGAGGACTTTCTGGGCACTGCAAGGTTCTGGTGGAGGTTGAGGATGTGAATGACAATCCCCCAGAAGTGTCTGTCATTTCCATGAACAGTCCTTTGCCAGAGGATTCCCCCCTGGAGACGCTTGTTGTCCTCTTTACAGCCACAGATCAAGACTCAGGAGACAATGGAAGAACTGTCTGCTCTGTAGCTATGAACTCACCATTTCTATTAAAAACCACTGTAAACAATTATTATCAACTTGTGATCCAGAGTCCCCTGGACAGAGAAAAAGTCACGGAGTATAACGTCACTATCACAGCCACGGACAGGGGTTCTCCTAGGCTTTCTTCAACAAAAAGGATTAATATTCAGATCTCAGATGTCAATGACAACCCTCCAGTATTTGAAAGGTCCTTGTATCAATTGCATATACAAGAAAATAACATTCCTGGATTGCTAATTGGTTCAGTCTATGCTGTTGATATGGACACAGGAAGGAATGCTAAGGTGAGCTACCAGGTTTTACCTGATAAAGTTGGGGGTGGCCTTGTGGCTTCTTATATCTCAGTCAACTCAGAAACTGGTAATGTGTATGTCCTCCGATCTCTGGACTATGAGCAGATCAAAGATTTCCAAGTCACAATGAGGGCGACAGATGGTGGGACTCCTCCACTGAGCTCAGAAGTAATTGTCCGAGTCTTTGTCATGGATGAAAATGACAATGCTCCTTTCTTCCTGTACCCCCTTCAGAACAGCACAGCCCCTTGCAATGAGCTGCTTCCCAAGACAGCAGAGGCTGGTTACTTGGTGACCAAAGTGGTGGCTGTGGATGGGGATTCTGGCCAGAACTCCTGGCTCTCCTATGAACTGTCGAAGGCCACAGACCCCACTCTTTTCGGCATAGGAGCCCAGAATGGAGAGGTGAAAACGAGGAGGCCCCTGAGTGAGCGAGACACAAGCAAACAGAGGCTTATCATCCTGGTTAAAGACAATGGGGTCCCCCCTCAGACCAGCACTGCGATGCTCCACATCCTTCTAGTGGATGGCTTTTCTGATCCTTATATGAAGATGGTTGATGTCAGGCAACAAGATCCAGAAGAAGAGGAGGAAACCTTGACCTTGTATTTGGTGATCTGCCTGGCTGCAGTCTCTGCTGTGTTTCTGGTTTCCATAGTTTCCTTTGTAGTTGTCAAATTGTACAAGAAAGGCACCAGGGAATGTTTCATTGCTGCACCTCCCCACTTCCCTCCTGCCAGACCTGATATTCCAGAGACCTGTTCAGATTCTCAGAGTGGGTCCCTTTCCAGGAATTATCAATATGATGTTTGTTTAACGGGTGGATCCTTAAGCAGCGAGTTCCGATTCCTCCGACCTCTTATTCCTGTTTTTTCTGTGGGGGAACCAATCATTCCTGTGAACCCCAAGACCTCTTCTGATTCCCAAACCCCTCTTGATAATTTGGACAATGGATCAACAGAAAAGGTAAGAGGTTTTTTTCCCTATATATAAAAAGACTCCTTATACGAAAGGAAATACTGTATATCTAGTCAGTCATATCTGATATTTGTTTTGTCACATTTCTCTCCATGCACTACTACTTTGTGGATAAAATGCATAGTGGCTGGAATAGCTTTGCATTTAAGCGCTACTTCCAATGTTGGCAGTGTTAGCTTTGACATTCCTTATTGCGGAGTAAGCCCTGCAAGAGATTGCAGTAATCTGATTTACCTTTTAGGTGGAGTGAGTTGTAAAGACTGAGATCTTGAAACAGAATCCAGCTCTCTTTTGGTGGGCAAAAGTGATATAAACTGAACCAAGAGAATTACCATGAATCACACATGAATGGATCGCAGAGATACTTATCGATGCTTGCCAAAGGAAGTAGTTGAACAAGGGGTAGAATATGATCTGGATTGGACTGTCCTGAATAAAGCAGTAGAGTAAGCAGCATCCACAATATTTGTTTTGGAGACCCTTTGATACCTTTCTTTGATGATTTACATCCTTGTAGTGCCTTCTGAATGCCTCTCAAAGTTAATTACAACAACTGTGAATCTATCCATATGTCCTGTTTGCTCCTGGTGGAGAGGTGGCTCCATCACCCATTGATTTAGATTGGTTTAACAGATGCATGTGACATTACTGCAGTTTCAAATCAATCCCTCCTACTTCCTTTCCATCTCAGGATTATTTTCTGTTGTTTGAGAACTGGGATTTTTTTGAAGGCCAGGTCCTCTAGATCTGTTATCCACATCTGTTCCTTTGTCTGGAACAAGCACAGTTCCTATGGGACGTGTAGAATTAGAATCCCCCTAATTCTTATGTTAGCTATGGCAGTGTTCTTTTCAGTGCAATGTTAAGCTGCCTTTCGTTGCATCTCTAAATGGCAAGCAGGGGTTTTCTTCCCATCATAGCTGCCTCTGTCCCTCTGCTTCATGCCTGGCAGGATCAATATAAGTTTGTTCTACCCCCCTCCCCTCCAAAAACAGCAACAACTAATGGCTATCTTTCAAGCTCTGCAGGTTTTTCTCCATGTTAGGATGCTCTTCCAAGCAAAATGGAAACTTTATCAAATCAGGCAACATTAAGGGGAGAAAACAGAGAAGGGGTGGAGAAAGGATGGAGGGGATGAGAAGGAAGGAGAGGGGAGAGGTAGGAGGAAGAAGGGAGTGGACGTATGATGTGGAAACTCAATTTGGATTATACTGAAAGAAAACTAACTACAGATATGGATGCTTGGTCTGAATAAGTGCAAATCATTGGAAAAGGGGAATATAGTTCCAACACACAACATGCCTTAATGGACCATATTTCAGTCTGAACTTTGATTTCAGTTGTGAAAGGGTGTAGCGATCAGTAGCCTTTGACATGTAATTGCATCTCTGAACAGAAGCTATACATTGTCCTCCACATTTCCTAGTGATAGATCTCTGTTCCGGAACTCCTCAGGAAGACATATATTATCAGGTCTTGTATATTATGAACAGAAACAAAAGGCTAAAAGATATGATGCTGGAAGATGAGCAGAGGGTGTCCAACATGCTACTGAGGAAGAGCAGAGGACAAGTACAAGTAGCTCCAGAGCTAATGAAGTGGTTGAGCCAAAGCTGAAAGGACACTTAGCTGTGGGCGTGCCTGGAAGTGAAAGGAAAGTCTGATGCTGCAAAGAAAAATATTGCATAGGAACCTTGAATGTAAGATCGATGAACCTTGGTAAGCTGGTTGTAGTCAAACAGGAGATGGCAAGAATAAACATTGACATCCTGAGTGTCAGTGAACTAAAATGGACGGGAATGGACGAGTTCAATTCAGACAATTATCATATCTACTACTGTGGGCAAGAATCCCATCGAAGAAATTGAGTAGCCCTCATAGTCAACAAAAGAGTGGGAAAAGCTGTACTGGGATACAATTTCAATAAGAATCCAAGGCAGACCTTTCAACATCACAGTAATCCAAGTTTATGTACCAACTACCAATGATGAAGAGGCTGAAATTGACCAGTTCTATGAAGACTTACAACACCTTTGAGAACTGACACCAAAAAGGATGTTCTTCTCATTATAGGGGACTGGAATGCTAAAGTAGGGAGTCAAGAGATAAAAGGAACAACAGGTAAGTTTGGCCTTGGGGTTCAAAATGAAGCAGGGCAAAGGCTAATAGAGTTTTGTTAAAAGAACAAGCTGGTAATCACAGTCTTTTCCAACAACACAAGAGGTGACTCTACACATGGACATCACCAGATGGGCAACACCAAAATCAGATTGATTATGTTCTCTGCAGCCAAAGATGAAGAAGCTCTATACAGTCAGCAAAAACAAGACCTGGAGCTGATTGTGGCTCTGATCATCAGCTTCTTATACCAAAACTGAAGCTTAAATTGAAGAAAGTAGGAAAGACCATTGGGCTAGTCAGGTATAATCAAAACCAAATCCCTTATGAATACACAGTGGAAGGGAAGAACAGATTTATGAACCAGATTTGGTGGACAGAGTGCCTGAAGAACTATGGATAGAGACTTGTAACATTGTACAGGAGGCAACAACAAAAACCATCCCAAAGAAAAGGAAATGCAAGAAAGCAAAGTGGCTGTCCAATGAGGCTTTACAAATAGCAGAGAAGAGAAGGGAAACTAAATTCAAGGGAGATAAGTAAAGTTATCCAAAGAACAGCAAGGAGAGACAAGAGGGCCTTCTTAAATGAACAGTGCAAAGAAACAGAGGAAAATAATAGAAAGGGAAAAACCAGAGATCTGTTCAAGAAAATTGGAGCTATTAAAGGAACCTTTTGTGCAAAGATGGGCATGATAAAGGACAAAAATGGTAGGGACCTTACAGAAGCAGAAGACATGAAGAAGAGGTGGCAAAAATACACAGAGGAATTATACCAGAAAGATCTGGATGTCCCAGACAACCCAGATAGTGTGGTTGCTGACCTTTAGCCTGACATGAGTTCTGCCAAAGAAGATCTGGAATGCTGGGCAATCAGAATCGCAAGCAGCTGATTCGCCATCAGATTCTCCTCACCCAGTAGCCAGAGTGAGGGAGAAGCTTCGGCAAGGACTCATGACACGAAGATCCGAAGCCTGCATGAGTGCTTCCCATAGAAACATCAGGTCAACCAGCCCTGAGTTTTAGCAGGATGAGGTGTTTAGATGACTGCTGTTGCTATAAAATCTGCACCCAGAGGCTTGCAAGTTTGTGGAAGCAACAAGTCAAACACTTTGGCTCGCATCCACGCTCTTGCTTATCCTGGACCCTGTTCTCTGGACCCCTGGCTTTGGACTCTGACTGCTGACTATGGTTTGTGTTTTGGGTTTGGCATTTTGGTATCTGCTTTGCATCTTCTGGACTTCTGATATTGGACTGGTTTACTGGACTTTTGAAACCCCCTGGGAACATGACAGAGCCAGACATCCTGGAGAGTGAAGTCAAGTGGGCCTTAGAAAGCATGGCTAACAACAAGGCCAGTTGAGGTGGTGGCATTCCAGTTGAACTATTTAAAATCTTAAAAGATGACGTTGTTAAGGTGCTACACTCAATATGCCAGCAAGTTTGGAAAACTGAACAGTGGCCAGAGGACTGGAATAGATCAGTCTACATCCCAGTCCCAAAGAAGGGCAGTGCTAAAGAATGCTCCAACTACCGTACAATTGCATTCATTTCACGTGCTAAAAAGGTTATGTTCAAAATCCTCCAAGGTAGGCTTCAACAGTATGTGGACCAGGTACTCCCAGAAGTACAAGCTGGATTTCGAAGGAGCAGAGGAACTAGAGACCAAATTACTAACATATGCTGGATTATGGGGAAAGCCAGAGAATTCCAGAAAAACTTCTGTTTCATTGACTATGCAAAAGCCTTTGACTGTGTGGACCACAGCAAGCTATGGCTAAGAAATGGGAGGGCCTGACCACCTTATCTGTCTCCTGAGAAATCTATATGTGGGACAGGAAGCAAGAGTTAGAACTGGACATGGAACAACTGATTGGTTCAGAATTGAGAAAGGAGCATGACAAGGCTGTATATTGTCTCCCTGCTTATTTAACTTATATGCAGAATACATCATGGGAAAGGCCGCACTGGATGAATTCCAAGCCGGAATTAAGATTGCCAGAAGAAATATCAACAACCTTAGATATGCAGATGATACTACTCTGATGGCAGAAAGTGAGGAGGAATTAAAGAACTTTGTAAGGACGGTGAAAGAGGAGAGCGCAAAAATGGCCTGAAGCTCAACATCAAAAAAAACTAAGATCATAGCCACTGGTCCGATCACCTCCTGGCAAATACAGTGGTGCCTTGCTAGACAGTTACCCCACATGACAGTTTTTTCGCTAGACATTGACGTTTTGCAATCGCTATAGCGATTCGCAAAACGGTGATTCCTATGGGCGAATTTTGCTGGACAATGTTTGGTCCCTGCTTCGCGATTTCAGTGAAACGGATTATCATCGTCTAGTGAGGCACCACTGTAGAAGGGGAAGATATGGAGGCAGTGACAGATATTACTTTCTTGGGATTTGTGATCACTGCAGATGGTGACAACAGCCATGAAATTAAAAGACGTCTGCTTCTTGGGAGGAAAGCAATGACAAACCTAGACAGCATCTTAAACAGCAGAGCCATCACCCTGCCAACAAAGGTCCGTATAGTCAAAGCTATGGTTTTTCCAGTAGCGATGTATGGAAGTGAGAGCTGGACCATAAAGAAGGCTGACCGCCAAAGAATTGATGGTTTTGAATTGTGGTGCTGGAGGAGACTCTTGAGAGTCCCCTGGACTGCAAGGAGAACAAGCATATCCATTTTGAAGGAAATCAACCCAAAGTGCTCACTGGAAGGACAGCTTCTGAAGCTGAGGCGCCAATACTTTGGCCACCTCATGAGAATTGAAGACTCCCTGGAAAAGACCCTGATGTTGGGAAAGGGGGAAGGCAAGAGGAGAAGGGGACGACAGTGGACGAGATGGTTGGACAGTGTCATTGAAGCTACCAACATGAATTTGACCAAACTCTGGGAACCACTGGATGACAGGAGAGGCGGATGTACTCTGGTCCATGGGGTCATGAAGAGTCGGACGTGACTTAACGAGTGAACAACAACGACATATTATGCTAAGTTGGGCTGGTTTTCTATTCAGCTCTTCCCCAAGTCCATTTTTTCAGTTATTTGATACATTTCTCTATATCACTGTTTGGGGTCAATGGCACTGCCTTGATTCAGTCCCTTTTGTTGTTCTCCCCAAAATGCTTATTGTTCCTTTAACAGTGGGTAACTGGGAAAGGGTTCATCATGGCATCAGTTAGAGGGAAGATTACACATAGGCATGAACGTAACCAAGTTCATTCAAAGTTAGAATATAGCCTGCCTGACCACAGTGTCTCAGAATCTTTGGCGGCCCTTTCCAGGCTATAATAGGTGGAGAACTTGGTAATACACATTCATGAACATGTAAATGTATTTACATCCCGTACACATCTCAACCCAAATGAATTATCAGTATATATTTGTTGTCCTCTGACATATTAGTCAACTGGTATTGCTGGCTGGAGCATCCGGGAAGTTGTAGTCCCAAAAATATTTTTGTTCTATCTGTATCGTGTTATACATTTCACAGACTAAGGGTGCAGTTGCACTTTGAAGACTTCTGGGTTGTGGTTTAGTATCTGCAAAACACTCTTCCAACATCATATTACAAACAAATTGACTGTTTTTCTCTCTCTGCTTCTGTTCCTACCCAACTTTCATGCCTCCTGATGGTAACTGAATAATAATCATATGCCAGGTCAAATCAGTTCTGACACGGAGACCCTTTTTTTAGGGTTTCTAAGTAGAAAGTATACAGAAATGGTCTATCATTCCGTTCTTCCGGTGGTGCTCTGGGTCTGTGCAGCTTGCCCAAGGCCACACAGGCTGACTCTATTCACAGGAAACACAATGTAGAATAAAACTCCCAACCTCTGACTCCTCAGCCACATAACTAAACAACTAAGCTATCCAGACAGTGGTAACTTGGAATACAGTCACGTGGATGATCTTGGCTTTGGTCTTCAGTGACACATCCTTACACATGATTATCTTTTCTAGCTCCTTTGTAGAACCTTTCCAACTCTCAATCTTCTCATTTCTTGCTTACAGTCTTCATTTGAAAAGACGATTGAACTGAGGTTTACAAAACCTTTAACAATTTTAATTTCTTCATTGTTAGCATTAAAGTTATGTAGTTCTTCTCAAGTCACGATTTGTAGCTACTTAATGTTCAAATGAAGTCCTGTTCTTGAACTTTCTCCTCTCGTTTTCCTCAGGAGTTGTTAGCAAATCATTGCCAGTTTCTGCAAGAAATATGGTGTCATCTGCACTCATCTTAAATTACTGATGTTTCTCCTACCAATTTTCATTCCTCCTTCATCTGAATCTAGCCCAGATTTCCATGTGATATCTTCTGTGTACAGCCGTGGAGGTAAAATTCACACTTCTCTGACACAATGAGAACCCATTCTGTTTCATCATATCGTGTTCTAACAGTAGCTTCTTGTTCGTAATATAGGTTATGCATCAGGAGAATCAAGTATTGAGGCACACTTGTTTCTTTCAGAGCAAGTAAGATCATACATTTACTGAACCCCAAAGCCTTGTATGGCTCCTACGCAAGCTATGCCTTATTTACCACAGCATGAGGAGGAACAGTCTCCCCAGCATGGGTCAGAACTATTAAAACCCAGAGGCTACTAGTATGGAAGTATTGCCCCCAGACTTTAGTAATCTGCAGCTAGAGATGAATCTGCAGCCCAGCAACCACAACAATTATGACTGGGGCATTCTAGGAGTTACCACCCCCAAAAGTAACTTTCTCGCCATCTGGTCACACTCAAAAAAACATTTAAAGATTTCAAAAGAACATTCCTTCTTGCCCTTCATGTACACATGGCGGTTTTTCTGAACTATATTTTGAAGGCCCCAAATAAGTAGTATTTTCCTTAAAACCTCATATTGTAATGCATCTTCTTTTATGAAAGCACTTGTGCTGTTAGCATTGCCTGTGGTAAGACCAGTTTCTTCTCCCATTAGAGATCTGCCTAAAATAACCAGAGGGAAGGCCTGTTGTGAGAAAGGGCGCAGGGCACATGTAGAACCCAGAGGCAGGTATTCTGACCAACACACTTCAGATTCCCTTTTAGTGGGATCTTCATTGTATCAAACTTTTTTAAAAGCACAGAGAGACTACAAGAAGCACTCACCTGCTTTATCAGTCAAGCTCATCTAAGTCACCATGTTTTCATGAATATTCCTATAATTTGCTGGCTATTACAAATGGATTAGCAGAACACATTGATTCCTTTTTTGTTAAACTTACTGTGCACAAAATTACGACCAGATAAGAAATACGCATTCCCAATACAATAATTCCTGTTCAGAAAGAAGCATGTAATACTAGTGACTGTTTCCTCTTTCAGCCACATGGTGGGAGTATAGGCAAGCACATGACTTGCAAGTCAGAATTTTAGTCTGTTGGAAATTCACAGGGAGCTCATAGCATCTCTGTATACAGAAGGCATCTGACTTAAAAAGAAAGCATTAGTGCAGCAAAGGTCTCAAAGAAGAACAATTTCTCCGTCAGCAGCACTGTGAGAATCAAAAGCTTTGTATTTGGGCCACCAATTGAAGAGGACATAGTTGTGAGCTATGGACGCCTGCTTCAAGAACACACAAGGTCTGTATCTTTTGCTCTTTCTCTCTGTTTCTAGAGTGTTCTGTGTATCAATTCATTACACTGTGCCTGAAGAGAAGAAAAGTGGGTCTCTAGTGGCTAATGTGCTGAAAGATTTAAAACTGAAATCAGGGGAGCTTTCGGCTCGCAGAGCCCAGCTAGTGTCCAAAGGCAATAAGCAGTACTTCCACCTTGATATCCACTCTGGGGATCTGTTAATACATGACAAAATAGACAGGGAAGCTTTGTGTGGACAGACTGAACCTTGCTTACTACAGTCTCAAATTGTGCTGCAAACACCCTTGAAAATCTACAGTATTGACATGGAGATAGAAGATGTAAATGACAATGCACCCAGTTTTTCTAAAAATGAATTTTTGTTGGAAATTCCTGAGCATGTTCTCCCAAATACGAGATTCCCCTTGGAGTCTGCCCAAGATGAAGACTTGGGACAAAACAGCATACAGAACTACACACTCAGTGCCAATGAGTATTTCCATCTGGGGGTGGAAAGCAACACAGATGGAAGCAAATATGTAGAACTCGTTCTGCAGAAATCACTGGACAGAGAGAAAGAGCCAAACTTTGCCCTCACTCTTATGGCTGTTGATGGAGGGTTCCCACAGAGAACTGGCACCATTCAAATCAAGGTTAATGTCCTGGACATCAATGATAATTCTCCTCAATTTAGTCAGTCGGAGTATAAGGTAAAGATAAAAGAAAACACCCCTCGGGATACTCTGATTCTCAAAGTGGAAGCCTTAGATATGGACTTTGGTTCTAATGCAGAAATCACTTACATCTTTCATCGACCGTCTGCAAAAATATATAATTTGTTTCATTTAAATGAAATGACTGGTGCAATCACTGTTTTGGGAGAAACCGATTATGAAAAAGAAACCAGTTATGACATGAATATCAAAGCAACAGACGGTGGAGGACTTTCTGGGCACTGCAAGGTTCTCGTGGAGATTGAGGATGTGAATGACAATGCTCCAGAAGTTTCTGTCATTTCTGTAAACAGTCCTTTGCCTGAGGATTCTCCCCTGGAGATGCTTGTTGCCCTCTTTAATGTTATGGACAGAGACTCAGGAGACAATGGAAGAACGGTCTGCTCTGTAGACATGAATGTGCCCTTTGTTATAAAGAGTACCACGGATAATTTTTACCAGCTTGTGATCCAAAGTCCCCTGGATAGAGAGAAAGTCACAGAGTACAATATCACCATCACCGCCACAGACAGGGGCTCCCCTCGGCTCACATCCACAAGAATAATTAATGTTCAAATCTCAGATGTCAATGACAACCTTCCTGTATTTGAAAAGACTTTATATGAAATGCAGATATGGGAAAATAATATTCCAGGCCTGCTGATTGGCTCAGTCCATGCTGTTGATCGGGACACAGATAAAAATGCCAAAGTGAGCTACCAGCTTTTGCCTGGGAAGCTTGGGGGTGGCCCTATGACCTCTTACATCTCAGTGAACTCAGAAACTGGAAATGTGTATGTCCTCCGATCTCTGGACTATGAACAGATCAAAGACTTCCAAGTCACAGTAAGGGCAACGGATGGTGGGAATCCTCCACTGAGCTCAGAAGTAATTGTCCGAGTCTTTGTCATGGATGAAAATGACAATGCTCCTTTCTTCCTCTACCCCCTTCAGAACAGCACAGCCCCTTGCAATGAGCTGCTTCCCAAGACTGCGGAGGCTGATTACTTGGTGACCAAAGTGGTGGCTGTGGATGGGGATTCTGGCCAGAACTCCTTGCTCTCCTATGAACTGTTGAAAGCTACCGACCCCACTCTTTTCAGCATTGGAGCCCAGAATGGAGAGGTGAAAACCAGGAGACCTTTGAATGAGCGAGACACAAGCAAACAGAGGCTTATCATCCTGGTCAGAGACAATGGGGTCCCTCCACAGACCAGCACTACAACACTCAATATCCTTCCAGTGGATGGCTTTTCTGATCCTTATATGAAGATGGTGGATGTCAGACAACAAGATCCAGAAGGAGAGGAGGAAACCTTGACCACGTATTTAGTGATCTGCCTGGCTGCAGTCTCAGCTCTGTTTCTAGTATCTGTTGTTTCTTTTGTTGTTTTCAAAATCTATAAGAAAGGCACAAGGGAATGTTTCATGGCTGCACCTCCCCACTTCCCTCCTGCCAGACCTGATATTCCAGAGACCTGTTCAGATTTTCAGAGTGGGTCCCTTTCCAGGAATTATCGCTATGATGTTTGCTTAACGGGTGGATCCTTAAGCAGCGAGTTCCGATTCCTCCGGCCTCTCATTCCTGTTTTTTCTGTGGGGGAACCAATTGTCCCTGTGAACCCCAAGACCTCTTCAGGTTCCCAAGACCTTCATGACCATTTAGATGCCAATAAATCAACAGAGCAGGTAAGATGATTACTGTTCTGTGTATCAGGGAAATCAGATCAGGTCTGTCAAGTCTAATATTTCTTTTTCTTTTTGTTTTTTTACCTACTTGCATTATACTTTCTGGCTGTTTTGTTATTTATGTTTTGGGAATAGGGCTTCACTTCAGCCTAGAATAGGAAGTACATTCTGGTTATGCATCCAGTACTGGATTTGATTCAGGTGACTGAAACATACAAGAATATATTCATACCCTCATGCCCCACATACATTGATGTGTGCATACATATTTAGATATGATTCATTCTCCCTGTCATCCTGGCACATAATGAAGAGGAAATATAAGCTGCATTGCCAGGAGCGTTTTGCCCACCATCCACCTAACCAGTTGGCCTGCAAGAGAAATGTGGGGATACACCTTGTCAATAGACATGTATACATCCTTGGGCTAGAAAAGAAGACACAGTTATGTAATGGTGGAATCCTTTCTATTTGAGAAATGCATCCTCTGCACCACCATCTTTATTGTTGGCTGTTTTTCTGTTTCCTTATCTTCTCTTCGGGTCTTATTTTGTCTTCCCATCTATTACTGGACTGTTCCTTGCCTCCATAAATTATCCACCTGAATTAATCATATCTTAAAAGACCTGTCATTAACTGCCTAGTTCCTGTCTTACATTCTTCCTTTATTGAGTCAATCAATCTCATGTTAGGTCTTTTTTTTTCCTATTGCCTTCCATTTTTCCTAGCATTATTTTATTTTCCAGTGAGTTGTCTTCTCATGATATCTCAAAGACATGATAGCCTGAATGTGATCATTTTAGCTTCTACTGGGAGTTCATGCTTGCATTTGATTTGATCTAGAACCTGTTCTTTCTATATATCCATAATGTCTATAAAGCTCTTATTCAAAGAGCCTATCTTCATTGCCTAGCTTTCGTATACATGAATTGTAACTGGGAATACCATAGTATGGATGATTGTACTCTGTCTCCACTGACACATTCTTAAACTTGAGGATCTTTTCTGGTTGCTCTTCGTAGTCTCAGTGTTCTTCTGATTCCTTGGCCAAGGTCTCCCTTTTGATTTATGATAGAACAATAGTATTTAAAATCTTTCATTTCTTCTCTAGTAAGTGTTATCTAAAAGTGAAAGAAAAGGGAATGCAAACTTTCTAAAATTAAGAAATAATAAAGAATTTTTAATTGTAGTCAATTTCCTCTCTGTGGTAATGTTTTAAATGCTAACATTTTGTGTGAAAAGAGTTATAGGACAATGAAGGAAACAATAAAATCCTGAAATGCATGTGTTTTAACACAAACCTTTTAAAAGCTAAGTATTCTAATTTCCCTTGCTGTTTGGTCTGCTGCAGGGATTGACTGGTTCACTCCTTTTTCTGATGTTCAGATTACATAATTGCTAGAGCAAACCATCCCATCCCCAGGGTGTTCCTACCCACATCTCTCTGCATCCCTGTCAGGGACTACTGTTTTTTATGTGAGGATAGGATTGCCCTGTTTTGGTTTGTTTCCACCTTGTGTGGTCACTGGAAGTGAACAAAGCAAAGTTTCCTGCCTTTGATTTGCCAGCTGGTTTCAATTTCCAAATATTTGTAAGTGGCTAAAGAAGACAACAAAGCCACTTCACAATACTGGGAAATTAAATACTTCCCTGCTGTTTTCTGGAGGAACAAATGAAGCATATATCTATTAAGACAGTGCTGATGCACTATATCACTTAGAAAAAAATAAAAACAACTTGAAAACTTCCTCCCAGAAGTAGAAAGAAAGAGGAATAGCAAGAAGGGGGATCTTTTTGGTTGTTGTTTTCTATGTTTTTTTAAAACAGGAAGGCAGGCCAAATAGGGTCAATTTGGATGGAAGGATATCATGAAATGGCATACCGGACCTCTAGCCAACCTTAAGCAACCCTATTCCTCTAATTGCAAACATGTTGACAAGCCCTATATCTGAATTGAGTTTTCCACAAAGGAAACCTGAGGCTCAAGGACAATTAAAAGGATACTGAGGGAGGGGACTTGAATGCGCGGATGAGGAATTCAGGAGACCTGGTGGGGAATTTCCGCAATGTTTTATGTGTTTTAAATGCTCTGCTATCAACTAGATACAGCTGTGAGAAACTCTAATTTTCCTCTAGCAGTAGCAGAAAGACATGGAAGTGGCAAGAATGGGGCATGGCAAATTTGAAAGGGAAAGGAAAAACTTTTGACAAAATGTTAACCCTGATAAAGAATGGCAGGTTTTTTTGAAGATTTGTACCTCAGCTTTCAAACAAGTGACTCTCAAGACAGCTTGAAGGAGAGTGTAGTAATACTACACACACACTCTTTTCCCAAAACCTCACACAATCCAGACCACACACAATCCAGTAGTCCATAAATTTCTGTGTGATGGATGGGCCCCAAACATGTTTCCCTTTGGTTCAGCCCTCTGACATCAGCTGGAGCGAAAATGTTCTTTCTAGCAGAGAGAAGGAAACAAACTCCCTGCAGAGGAAGCAGCTTGACCCATCTCTTGCCATAATGTTTCTTACTTGGAGATGTGGAGAGCAGCTCCTAGGGGCCCGACAGTTGAATGCAGAGCCCAGAGCTTGCTTTCTGTCTCTACTGCTATTGAGAGTGAGGTGGGAGGAGGGAAGACAAGAGAGTGATGGTTTGTGTATGATGCTGAACTGTTTCACTAATCCATAGCTTGGAAAATAAAAAATATTCTTTCAATTTTTTCTAGAATGTATGGGGGAAGTGTAAACTCACACAGAAATACCCTAACCACACACTTATTTTAAACCATGAAATAGCAGTCAGGTTTGTTCTGGATCCCCCCAAAATGAAAATCCCTTAACCTGGGAGGGAGAAAAATGTGGCTCTCCAGATGTTGTTGGACTGTCTTCATCCCTCTGCCCTGGGTATACTGGCTAGGGTTCTTTGGAGTTGCTATCCCATGACATCTGGAGGCAGTGATGGATCATAGCTAAGAGGGGGAGAATGCCGTCTTGAAATTCTGTGGTGAGGTGCCCCACAGTCCTGGTCCATCTGGTCACTTCGTCATGACCTGAACCACATATTTATTTGGGAAATAAATACAGCAAAGATACTGAAACCTTAAAGCAAAATCAGACAGCACTGCGATAGCCAGTGAGGAAGCTGACAGAACAGAGAGGATGGAATGTTCTAAAAGGTGGCATTTACTGTGGATGACTGTAGGTGAGTGATGCAGAGTATCAAGTCCTGTATCCAGATGTTTCCTCTTCTTTCCAATGTTCTTGGATTAGATGCAGTAAATGAAAAATGTGATATGATGAAATTTTCTTTTAAAAAGTGCTTTGCAACTTGATTGGGTTTTTTTCCTGGAGATTGCAGATTTGTAATTTCTGGAATATATTTCCAGATCAGTTGCTCTTTTACATGTTTACTAAATATGAGATGCTGGGCATATGTATCAGTGATCTAACATGCATTGTGTGGCCTGCAAGTCATGTTTCAATAGGGTGAGCCTTGTCAGTCACAAAGCTCTTAATGATGACATCTTGATAAACTGAGTTGATGGTACTGCCAATATGTGAAAGAAGTTCTTTTTTAAAAAAATGTTTTTGGATCTTTGGGGTTCAGTGTATACTTGAATAAGAACTAACAAAGCCAAGTGCAGTTTTACTAAGAATTCTTCCATGTTACTGGACCTTTTAGGCTCAGGGATTTTCTTCTCCAAGAAGAATATGCAGACCAACCAGTCATAGAAGCTTCTCTCAGACTGAAGCCACTGCTTCCATGTAATTCACTAGGCCAACTCATGCTAGGCCTTCTTCCTAAAGAAATATCACACGAAATTGAGATGTTAATGTCAATCAACTGCACAGGGGTTCAAATAGTGACCAGATTCATCCTTGTGTGTGAAATGAGAAGAAACAAACTCCCCCCCTCCTCACTGTGGGAGAGCAAGGTTTTCTGTAGGAAAGGCAACCCTGGAAAGAATTTGAGCATTATCAAGGGTGATTTTTTTGCAGGTTTCAGCAGTTACACAAAAGCTAAAACAGCAGAAATGGATGCCTTGTTTCATGGACTTTTAAAAATTAGAATTATGTGCTTTTTGAAACTTTCATGAGCATTCAGCCCACACTTTGGCGGTTTATGTATGCACGTTCTCAATGTCAGAAAATGAAAAGAGCATTGAGATAATTTGTAGAAATGGGCAATGATGAAAGGAGGAGGTAGGGGAAAGCATTTGGTGTCTTCCTCTCATTCCCGAGGTAAAATCTTTAGCAGGGCTTCAAAATTCTCAATAAATCATCTCACCCTAACAAGACAGCCTCTGTCACTATAAACAAGACATAGGCAGGAATTATTTACCTCTCCTGTTATAATTTTTAAAAGAAGGCTTCAACTATATAGTAGTATCTATGTTTATTCATGTATAACATTTGAGAGAATGTATTTTATGCAATTACTGTAAGACTTTACTACAGAACATTTTTGTACATGTGTTGCAAATGGTACTCTACGGACATTGTTCTATATGGCAAGCACAAGGTGGTGCTATTGCACCACAAAGAATAGATCAGAGATCCGGTTCAGTCTTGGAAATCTGTAAGGGTTAATCAGACAAAGGAATCTCAACCTAAAAGGCAGAAGATTTTCCGCCCAAGCAAATTCTTAAGAAGCATTCAGGAGAAAAGGCCTCCGTACTCATCAGTACGAAACATAAACAAAGGAAAATGCAAAGATTTGCCTTGGACATTTTGCAGTGAAAAACCAGCTCCAGTCGTTGCTTTAGAAATAATCATAGAGTACTTTCGGATCTGACTTGGAGGAGGCTGGAAAAATGGAAACTCAGCTTGACAGCAGGCAAGTTATGGTTTTTCTCCTTTATTTCTCTGCATGTGTAGCAATGTGTGAGTCTATCCTGTATTCAGTACCTGAGGAAAAGAGAAGTGGGTCTCTAGTGGCTAATGTGCTACAAGATTTGAAAGTGGATGCAAAAGGGCTGTCTGATCGGAAAGCCAGGCTGGTGTCTAAA